GGCCTCTGGGGGGGATGTGGAGCCCGGACTGCCCGTCGAGGTGCGTGGCTCCAACGGGGCCTTCTACAAGGTGAGGCGGCGCGCCGACCGGGGACAGCCGTGTTAGCCCCCTCCCCCCAGACGCAGCAGGGAAGAGGAGGGGGGCGGGATCGAGCTTCTGGGACTAAGTCCTGACCCTTAGAACCTTCGACTCCAGATCCCACCCGCAGTCCCCAGGGAAGACCTCTAGGAGCCACCCCCCCTTCTCTTATTTTTGACCCCTCAGTTACACCTCCTTTTATCGCCAGCTCTAAGAGAACAAATATTAGGCTGTTATTGTGCCTGTATCTGCGCTCCTTGCCTCCAGGAGAAACCTCTTCACCCACGTTCTAATTGACTTTTTTCCTGTTTCTTAGTGGAAGACATATCTTAGTCCTTAATCACATCTTTCTTGCACTTTCAGCGCACGGAGAATTCTCTCCCCTCTGGAACCACTTGGGAAGGTCTTCTGTCCCATATTAGTTGCTTTAATCTTCCTCAGGGAGGCCTCTGCCTTTGGAACATCCACCCTACTTTCAACTTATATTTCTATTCCCAGATTAAGGAGAAACGGTTAAAATTTGTTTATGATATTTGGCATCTTTGGTCTCAGGTATCAGTCAGGTTGCCTCTCAGCCAGTCATAAAGTGGATCCTTTTTACAAGTCTTGTCACCCCAATTACACCTTTATTGAAGGCCAGCTAGTCTACCTACCATTCTACCCAGGATGGATTTGTATTTGGTCTGTTTGACCTCAATTGCATACAAATCATTTGTATGGCTCTTTCATCTTAAGCTTCATATTCATAATCTCTAGAAAGTGTTCTCATCTGAATTACTTACATTTCTCAAGGATTTCTGCTTCTAGAAGACTTTTGACTAACTTTCCCAGTCCCAAATCTGACAGACTATTTTGGAAGGAAAAGTGGACTTTTATCAACAACTCTTGCTTGTTTCAGCTTCTCTCTCACCCATGATTTGGTTCCATAGAACTCCTTTTACTCCCACCTTTTATCTGCTCTGAATGTATTCTCTAGGATATTATTTTCCCATTAGATTAAGCAAGAGACCCTTCTTGACTCTCAGGTATTTTTGTGTGACTGATGATATTTTGAACCTCCTTGTACCTTTTTTTTATTAGCATGTTTCCAGTACATAATGGTCACACTCATGGTGGGCAGTTGGTATATGTGCATAACATCTTCATTCTTTTTATTTACCCTTTTCATCCCCTCCCTCATCTCTCCCTCCATCTCTTGATCTCTTTTGGACATTATGCCTGGAATTGTCCCAGAGACTTTTCTGATCTCTGTTATATTTCACCCTGAACATTGAGAAAAGAGATAAAAATTGCGTCATATCATCAAGTGTAAGATGAGCCCTCTTTCCTTCAGTTTCCCTCAGGTCTTTTCCCCCCACAGTGGACCTTTCTACCTTTTTGTGCCCTTAGATATGATTTTCTCTGATTCTTTTACTATTAAATTAAATCTTACTGTAGCTGGAAAGGGTCTTGTATTTGCCCTTGGAGTACATGGGCCCCCCCCCCACATTGATAAGTTCATTGTATTTATTTTTTACTCACTCTGAATGCCTGTGTGTTTGCCTTACCTCACCAGGTTTCTTTATATTCAGTATCCATATCTGCCTTAATTTAGCCTCTCAGTTCAAGTTTTTGGGTGTTAGTCTAATATTTTGATATTCCCGTGTTATCTGTGCCTCGATGAAGGAAGCTCCCAGCTGATCTTGTCATTTTCTACATACTTTCCTAACTCTTGGGACTTTTCATTCTAGCACATCTTCTATAAACATTTCTGTTTTCTTTGGCAAAAAGTCTCTGATTCCTTTCTGGTTCTGACAGAGCTCATTTGTCTCTCATATCCTTTCCCCCAACTTGCTTTACCTTTGAAATAATCTTCTTCTTAAGATTTTGGTCCTGTCTCCCCATTGTGTCCTTCACCTGGACACTTCACTCTTGAATTCTGAGTTCCAAGAAGTGATTTTTATTTTTCCCCAAGTACTGGGGTAGAACCCAAGGCCTTTCCACTGAGCTCAGTCCCTGGCCTCAAAAAGTGATTCTTAAATTGAGTGTGATATTAAGATATGCTTGCTTTTATTGTAGGAAGCAGGAGAACCTTGTACAACTGGGAAAAATTGGTATCCAGTTCAAATTAATATATGAGATAGCTGGGAAGGGATATGTATCCTTTTCTTTTTATGAATATCCAACAGAAAGCCTGTCTAAATCTTCCCCTTTTCTCCTCTTGGCTACGGCAGTGATAGACTTGAATGAATGAGGAACAGAATAGTTTGATTTAGAGAACATAGTTTGGAATTGAGCCTGAAGCCAGGAGCTGTAGATTTTGTGTTCTGGCCACTGCAGCATTTTCTGCTCCTTGAGTGATTTAAAAACAACAAATCACTAAATTCACACATAAACTCTCAGTGCCATGCAGATAGTTATCCATTCTGACCTTGCTACTGATTTAATATTCATGACTCAGCATATTTTCTTATGGCTCAGTGTGTTTACATTGCTTCTAGAGCTACGAATTTGGGAAGGTCCCCTTCCCTTCTTTCAGAATTGACTTCCTTCCAGAATAGATGTAAAGCATAGGTTAAGTTATTTAAGTTGTACTCTTCCAAATGAAATACCTATTTACCTTGCGGGACACAGTCACCTTACTTTCTAGACCTTGCCTTGGTATCCTAATTCTAATCTCTTTTTGGTAGTGTTTTTGTGATGCTGAGGATTGAACTCATGGCTTCACACAAGCTAAGGAAGAGCTGTACCACTGAACCACATCCTCAACCCTGTTCACTTCTTAATGATTGAGGCATCAACTTCAATGTATAGTTTTTACCTAGGCTCTTTCAACTTTTCTCTTAGAATTCCCTCTTTTGAGAGCTCAAGACCACAAGACAAGATGAAGGCAGGAACCAATTTTGTATCTTCTAATTTTGGGGAACAGGAGTACCTTGAAACCTAGAGATCTCTTCCTGGGCCTGATGCTAGGTCCCAGAAGCCAAAGCCAGGATGTGCCATGATCACTCAGTCAAATCATCTGGATCTAGATCGCTTTCTAACAGATTCCACTTCACTTGCCCTTGCCTTTATTTTTCTGGTTAGTATAAACAGTATAATTTAGTACTTACTTCTCACCACTGGTATCTTTGAAGTAAAGAATCAGTGTCTTGGGTGAAAGAATGGAATTAAGTTTCAGAGTCAGGATTGGAATATGAAGCAGGGGAAAAGATTGTTTTGGGGAATATTTGAAGGAAAAAGACCCTGGAGGCATGAGAGAGAGTGGCATTTGGTTGAACTGTTTGAGCAGTGTGAGGATGACTCCTTTATGAACTTAGCATTTCTGCCTTGGAAGTCATGATCGTTGGGAAAACCAGGGTGATACAGTATTGCTACTCACTCTTGGCCAACCCAACATGATGGAGAATTGCATTAGAGCCGTAGGTATGGCCTTTGGGTATAAATAAATTTAGGAACAGGACTTTTCAAGAAAGAGGCGGGCAAGTGTTTCTCTATTTTCCTCTCCCTCTGTCTCATCTGTAAAAATAGGTAACACTGTCTTGTTTTTTTGGTTTTTTTTGTACCAGGGATTGAACTCAGGACCATTTGCACTTGTGAGGCAGGCGGTGGAACCACTGATCTAAATCCCTGGCCTGCTGTCTTGTTAATTGTAAAATGTGTAGGGGCCAGGGATTTGGATCAGTTTTTCTGCCACCTGCCTTGCAAGCACAAGGGCCTGAATTCGATCCGCAACACCCCCCCCAAAAAAGACGTGGAGATAGGCATTTTGGATAAATAGTTTAGTAAACTCAGCTGAAGAGACTAGTATTTGAAGTGATTATAGCAATCCACACAGACCCCCATAAAGAGGAAAAGATGGTGTCGCTTGGGGTGTAGCTCAGTGGTAGAGAACATCCTTAGCATGTGCAAGGCCCTGCCTTCAATCCCAGGCACTAAAAAAGACAAAACAAAAATAAAAAAAGGGGTGAAGTGATAATGTGTTAGTGGTTGTGGAAAGAGGGAAGAAGGCCCTGAAGCTAAGGAAAGAACCTAAAAGGGAAGAGTGACCCATACAGGAGTGAAAGTGCCCCATAAATCTTAACTGTGTAGAGAATAGAAGCAGTTGGTATTGGTTATGAATGAAGAGAGGATAAACACTTTTGGGGAAGAGACTATTGATGAAAAGATGAAGCATGGTTAAGAATGGGGTCAGAAGTGTGGTACTATATGCCATGGACAGTAGTAAGTCTAAGAAAGAACTGGAGCTCTATAATGAGGCCCTATCTCTAAAAGGGAAAGATGGAAATATCAAGAGTGAAATTCAGTTTTAGATTTTCCTACAACATTATGTAATGTATGTTTATGATTTACTAGTTCTGTGAGGTGAGAACTTTGCATTTTTCAGGGCATTTTGATCTTTTCTTGTCTGACCTTAGCTTTTATCCTTAGACTGATTTGTTTGTTTGTTTGTTTTTAAGCCAGGGTCTTGCTCTACAGGGTTTTGCTTTGTAGTTCAGGCTGGCCTTGAACTCATTGTGTAGTCCAGGCTGGACTTGAACTTGCAGTGATCCTGCTGCCCAGCTGCCTCAGCCTCCTGAGTGCTGGGATTACAAGTGCGTATTACCATGTCTGGTGTCGTCTTTAGAGTTTTTTTTTTGTTTTGTTTTGTTTTTGAGGGTCTTGCTTTGTGCTCAGGCTGGCCTGGAACTCCCTACATAGGCCAGGCTGGCCTCAAACTCACAGCAATCCTCCTGCCTCTGCCTCCCAAATGCTGAGATTGCAGGTGTGTACCATCACACCAGGCCTGGGGAGTTAAATCTTTTAGTTTTTTCTTTTCTTTCTTTTTTTTTTAAACTGGGAATTGAACTTGTGCTTACAAGGCAGGCAGCGGAACCACTGAGCTAAATCCCCAGCCCCTACAGTTAAGCTGTTTTGTTTGGTTTTGGTTTTGGTACCAGGGGTCGAACTCGGGACCTTCAGCTTTTGAAGCAGGCGGTGGCACCACTGAGCTAAGTTCCCAGACTTGCAGTTAAGTCTTGACATACATATATAACAGTGAAGCCATCACCACAATAAAGATAATGAACATTTTTGTCACAAAAGTCCACAGAGCTGAGTGTGGTGGCCCATGTGTATAATCTGTACACTCTGAAGGCTAAGGCGGGAGAGGATTGCTGAGTTTGAGGCCAGCCTGAACTACCTAGCAAGAGGATATCTCAAAAATAAAAAGTCCCAACCACTGATTTGCTATCATTTTACATTAATTTATACCTTCTGATTTTTGCAAAAGTGAGAAGATAGTTTATCAGAGATAGTCTGTTCAACAGTTAGTGATGAACTGGATATCCACAGAGAAAAATTAGACTGATTATTACCTCACACCACATGTAAGTTTAAGTCAAAAATGGATTATAGGGCTGGGGATTTAGTTCAGTGGTGCCACTGCCTGCTTTGCAAGCACAAGGATCTAAGTTTGATCCCCAGTACAAAAAGGATTATAGGTCCAGGGATTTGGCTCAGTGGTACTGGTGCCTTCCTCACCAGCCCAAGGATCCGAGTTTGATTCCCGATACCCAGCCCCCCAAAAAATCTAAATGCGAGACAAAAAGTTATAAAATTTCTAGAGGACTTAGTAGAAAATCTTTGTGGCCTTGGATTAAAGAGATTTCTTGTGTATGAAATTAATAGTCTATAAAAGTAAATTCATAAGTTGAACTTTTTTCACAGTTAAATTTTAGTATGTGAAAAATAGGAAGAGAGGGCAGAAAAATTAGTCTGTAGATTCGAGCAAGTAGCTTTGTCCTCAGTGAGGACATAGAAACAGGAGATGGAGCTAATACCTTGTCAGGATTCAAGATTGAGGTTTTTATAGATACCTCTATTTTTCTTTTCAAATTCAGCATTCTAGCATTCAGAAATCTGACATCTTTTAAATCCTTCTGTAAATTATGTTTCTTATTTTTACCTTGTCCTGATTATTCTCCAGAGACCCAGGCATCAGTGCCCCAAGTCTGCTCAGAGATCTTGCTGTATAGGGAAGCTAGACCCTTCTCTCTTAGCATATCCTGATGTCCTCTAGGTGTTCCAGTACAGCCTTCACACTGTCTCATGGGATATTCTTAGCTTTGCTAAATGTTGCTGGTATTTTAATTGAACTTTGGCAGGCAGCTCCACACAACAGGAGACATAGGGAAGCCCTGTGGAGCCAGAATGGACCACCAGTTTGCAGACTATTCCCATGCAGTTGTCATCTCTTCTATTCTCATCCTGTCTTATTTCTGGATTTTGCCACATCTTTTTCCATACCAATACCATTTTCTCTCTCCCTTTTAAAAAATGTTTTTGTTTGTAATTGTTTTGTTTGTAGGACATGTTTGCTGTACGTACTTATTACATTCGTTGTGGGCAGTTGACACATGTACATAACACATCTTAATTCCTTTTATGTTCTCTAACCCCCCCATCTCTTATTCCCCTACCCACTTGTAAAATCTGTTTCCTATTTTATTTTGCTCTGTATTTATATTTTAGTTTCTCATACAAGAGAAGCCATGTGATATTTAAGCTTGTTTGTCTGATTTATTTCACATAACATGATCTCAAAGTACATCCATTTTCCTACAAATAACTCAAATTTATCCTTTATACCAGAGTAGTACTCCATTGTGTGTAAATACCACATTTTCCTTATCCATTCATCTGTTGGTGGACTTGACTCAGGCTAGTTCCTGTATGATTTAGCTAATTAGAAGTTGTGCTGCTATAAACATAGGCATGCAGGTATCATTGTAATGTGAAGTCTTAATTTTTTTGTTAAGATATCTAGAAGGAGAATAACTTTTGTGAAGATATCTAGAATAGGTCGAATGGAATTTCTCTTTTTAGTTTTTTGAAGAATCACCATACTGATTTTCGTAGTGGTTGTACCCATTTCTTTTTTTCTATCTCACATTTCATATTCTTTCTCTAGTATACCCATCCTTTCTGGCCATGTCTTCAGCCTGCTTGTATCTCTACTTAAAATGATAGTTTAGATGGCACACACCTTTAATCCTAGTACTCAGGATGCTGAGACCAGAGGATTGTTGTGAGTTCAAGGTTGGCTTGAACTAGTAGCAAGACTGTCTCAAAAACACAAATAAAGCCTGGGTGTGGTGGCGCATCCTGTAATCCCAGCACTCAGGAGGCTGAGGCAGGAGGATCGCCGTGAGTTTGAGATCAGCCTGGGCTACACAGTGAGTTCCAGGTCAGTCCCAACTAAATAGACCCTGTCTCAAAACCCAAAAAAAAAAAAAAAAAAAAAAAAAAAAAAAAAAAAAAAAAGACTTTCCATTACCCCTGTTTTCCCTTGATGGCTAAGGTGATGGTGAAATGTCATTTTACATTTTTTAATTTTTTAAAAAATCCATTCTAGGGCTTTGTGAAGGATGTCCATGAAGACTCTGTCACCATCTTCTTTGAAAACAAGTAAGACCTTGGGAATAGAGAATCCAGCATACTAGGTCCTAGAAGGAAAGTGGAGAAGAGGGGGCGGCTGAGTCTTATGAGGCATGTAACAGATGGGGAAGAGCTGAGGGTTTGGGTGTAGGCACTTTAAATAGAGGAAGGAGTTGAGAATTTGGTGAGGATAGGAGCATTTGCTAGATTGTAACAAGAGATGGAAAACACTCCAATGGAACAGGGCCTGGAGTTTAACCTCTAGTTAACAGGGTAGGTAGAAGTTGCCCAGCTGAGGCAGTAACATTCCTGGAGAAATGGGTGGCCACATCAGTCTGAATAGCTTTTATATCACTGTTTCTCTTGCAGCTGGCAGAGTGAGAGACAGATTCCTTTTGGGGATGTTCGGCTACCACCTCCAGCTGACTATAATAAGGAGATCACAGAAGGGGATGAGGTGGAGGTAAGGGCTAGGGATTTGGGAAGTCTTTTTTTTTGCTACCATGCAGCAACATAACATACCTGGCAGAATTTATTATAAGTATCACTTTCTTAGGATCCTAGACACTTCTCTGGTTGGTTTATGCTCCCTCCCCTAGCTGAGGTACCATGTCCAGACAGTAGTCTATGGGGAAATGGTCTCTTTCATCATGGGTCTGAACCTCCCTACTCTATGGGAGTGGGCTAATTTCAGGGGCTTCCCTTTTCTTTCATTTGTGGTGATAGCGTCTAAAATCCACTGCTCTTAGGTGTGGGTACCACATGCCTATAGTTCCAGTGACTTGGGGAGGATAAGCGAAGAAGATTGCTTGAGTTCAGGAGTTCTGGGTCAGCCTGGGCAACATAGGGAGACTTTGCCTCTTTAATTAAAAATAATAAGGCTGACGTGGTGAAGCACGCCTATAATCCCAACACTTAGGAGGCTGAGGCAGGAGGTTTGCTGTGAGTTCAAGACCAACCTGGGCTACATAGTTTTAGGTCAGTCTCAACTACATATTGAGACCCTGTCTCAAACCCCCTCCCCCCCAAAAAATAAAATAAAAATAATAAATTAAAAGTCCAGCGGCTATGGTCTATAATCTCGCTGGGAGGATTGTAAATTTGGGCTCAGTCTGGGTGATTCAGCAATTTAGACCCTATCTCAAAAAATTTTAAAAGGGGTGCTGGGGATTTAGCCCAGTGGCACAAAGTTTGCCTCATAAGCGCAAGGTCCTGAGTTTGATCCCTGGTACCAAAAAAAAAAAATTATTTTTTTTACAAAAGGTAAGGGGCTGGAAGGCTAAGGCAAAATCACTGTGAGTTCAAGGCCAGCCTGAACTGCATAGAGAGACTCTGTCTCCCAAAAAAAAAAAAAAAAAAATGTAGGGATGTTTGATCTGTGATACCTCAAAAATTAATGAATGCATGAGTAAGATAAAATCTAATACTCTCTGATTTTAAGTTAGTGGTTTAATTCATCTGGTTTCCTTTATCTTTGGTTTAGAATGCATTCCAAGTATCTTAATGTGTATTCCTTTTTTTTTTGAGACAGGATCTCACTATGTAATTCAAGCTGGTTTTGAACTCACTATGTAGCCCAGGCTGTCCTTGAATGTATGGCAATTCTCCTGCCTCAGCTCCCAAGTGCTGGGATTATAGGTGTGTGCTACCATACCCAGCGCTTATTCCATTCTTGATGTTTTTAGATTGTCTTCAATTTCTTTTTTGTTTTCAACTTGTCTTCAGGTCTATTCCCGAGCCAATGAACAGGAACCTTGTGGCTGGTGGCTGGCCCGGGTGCGGATGATGAAGGGAGATGTGAGTGATTGTGAATATCTTTGGAGAACTTCAGAAATCACCATTTTATTTATAGAAAGATAAGAGATAGATGATTAGATCATCCACAACTTTTTTTCCTTTTTCCTAGTTCTATGTTATTGAATATGCTGCTTGTGATGCCACGTACAATGAGATAGTCACCCTGGAGCGACTTCGGCCAGTAAATCCCAGTCCCCTTGCAACCAAAGGCAGCTTCTTCAAGGTTACCATGGCTGTGCCTGAGGATCTGAGAGAGGCGTGAGTGTTGGGGAAGGTTAGAAGTAGAAGGCCCTCTTTGCAGCCCTATTTGCAGCCCTCTCCTTATTTTCTTCCAGGCCCTACTCCCATTCTTCAGTGTTCTCTGTTGTTCACTGGCTCTTTAGGGCCTTTTTTTTTCTTAATGGGATCTTGCTAAATTGTCCAGAGTGGTCTTGAACTTGTGGTCTTTATGCCTCAGCCTCCTGAATAGCTGGGATCATAGGTATGTGCCACATCCCCCATCTCTTGGGCCCTTTGTGCCTGATACACCCTCAACAATTCTCTTTCCCATCCCTGTTTAACTTTGTTTCCTGCTCTCTAATTTTCTCTGTCCCATTCTTTGTCTCCTTAACCCTTCACTGCACTCTGCCTTCTGAATATATATTCTTCCCTGCAGCTGCTCTAATGAAAACGTCCATAAAGAATTTAAGAAAGCACTGGGAGCCAACTGCATCTTTCTCAACATCACCAATAGTGAGCTCTTTATTCTGGTGAGTTTATTCTACCTGAATTTCTCATATGCCCTTTCAACAATTTTCATTTTCCCCTATTAAACTTTTTGTAGAAAATGAGAAGCTAAATTGTGCGTATAGGTTATTTGTCAGAGAGGATTTAGCCTTCCTCATGTACAATCCCTTTTTTTTTGGTCCCTGCCATTTTGGGAGTTGAACCCAGGACTTATGTATGCTAGGCAAGCTCTCTTCCACTGAGTTATATCCTGGCTACTTTTTGGTTTTTAAACCTGGTAATCATTTTGCAATGTGGGTTAATTCTTTGGGGTATTTGGACTTTTTAAAATACACTGTATAACTCTCACCATTTGCTTATGCCTTGCTTCCTATCTGAAACCACTTCTTTGGCACCCAGATGATAAGTCGACTCTTAAGAGACTGACAATGATTTTCTTATTCCTTTCTTTTTTTTCTTCTTTTCCCAATATTAGGGATTGAACTCAAAGTCCTCTCACTGAGCTATATCGCCAACTCTTTTTGAGACAGGATCTTACTAAGTCACTAAGTTGCCCTGGTGTTATTTGGTAGCTCCTTCTAAAAGTGGCTTGCCAAGTAAACATACTAGGTTTTGGTTTGTTTGCTTTTCCTCTGGGGTTCTAGGTTTTTCTCGTCTTGAACAAAGAATTGAACAAAACAAGCAAAAAGCAGTGGCAAATTTATTTGAAAAAGTAAAATTGAAGGGTGAGGGAGAAACTGGCCTTGCAGAGCAAGCTTGAGCCAAATGAAAGGAAAGAGCAAGATAAATGTACACCTTGGAGGATGCAGGGTGGGCTGTACTTTGGAAAGCCACAATAGCAAATACTTCTTGACATCTGTGTCCTTTTTTACTGTCCAAATCTCGAAGAAACCCTGGAGAATTGTACATCCAGGTCCTGAGAGGCAGTGCTGGGATCCCTCACCTCAGGTTGATAACAGGTCTAGGCCATCCTGTTGAAAACGTGCTCAGAGTTTTTGCAAGTTGTCCACATGCAGGGCTTTGGCATCTGTCTGGCCTATGTGTTCCAGCATCTTGTAATTAACAAGTCAGGTTTACTTTACCAGCCACCTTTGCTACTCCCTAGCCTCCTATGTCACTGGTAAGGCTCAAACTTTCAATCTCTTTCCTCCAACCTTCCAGAGTGCTGGGATTGCAGGAGTATGCCATCCCGCTTAGCTTTATCTTTTGTTTGCTTGCTTGTTTGTTTTTGAGACAGGTTTTTGAGACTGTGTAGTTCAGGCTGCCTTTGAAACCACTGTGTAGCCCAGGCTGGCCTCAAATGGTAATCTGCCTACCCCAGCCTCCTGAGTGCTAGGATTACAGGTGTGCCCTACCATACCTGGCCAGTTATTTTTTATTTTGAGATAGTGTTTCACTAAATTACCCATGCTGGAGTCAGAAATTTTGGATCTCCGGGGGTGTGGTGGTACACGCCTATAATCCTAGCACTCTGGTGACTGAGACAGGAGAAGAATCACAGTGAATTCAAGGCCAGCCTGAATTATAGACTTTATCTGGGGGAAAACCCAAAAACTTTCAATCCTCCTACATTAGCCTTCCCAAATTGTGGGATTACAAGTGTGTGTATCATGCGCAGTTTCTTGTTCATTTCTTTGTTGTTTTTTGTTTTGTTTTGTTTTTGTGGAACCAGGGATCAAACTCAGGACCTTGTACTTGCCAGACAGGTGCGGCACCACTGAGCTACATCCCTGGCCCACTCTTGTTCATTTTTTAACTCCTGCCTTTTTCCAGGAACTCAGCATTCTGATTTCCAGTCCCTGATTCTCACCTAGTTTGTGTTCACAGTCAATTTTAATGATTTCCTGTTTGTTTATTTCCAGTCAACCACAGAAGGCCCTGTGAAGCGGGCATCTCTGCTGGGTGATATGCATTTCCGAAGCCTCCGTACCAAACTGCTCCTCATGTCCCGCAATGAAGAAGCTACTAAACACCTCGAAGTAAGTTTTGGCTCTTTCTCCTGCTGAATGGTATTGTTCTCCTTCCTTCCCGCCCCATCCTTTACTCATGCTCTTGTGTTTGCAGAACAAAAAGTATAAGGCTTTCTGGGGCTGTTAAACCAGGATTGGCTATTTTATCTCATACTCCTCAAGATGGCAGAGCTCCATCATGTTATGGTACAGTTATTTTTCAAACTATTAAGTAGAAGACCTTTCAGTCAAGTGAAATTTTTCTTTTTGGTTGGGGGTTTGGACTGGAGATTGAACCCAGGGTCTTTGCACTGAACTACATTCCAGCCCTTTTTAAAAAATTTTTTAAATTTTCAAACAGTAAAGAGTAACTCAGTTGGCCAGGCTGGTCTCAAACTTGAAGTTCTACTGCCTCAGCCTTCCAGAGTGCTGGGATAACAGCACTGGGCCACCACACCTGGCTCAAGTAAAATTTTTCTTAAAACACAGAGTTAATCTGTGTAAAAAATGGGAAAGGAGCCAGGTGTGGCTGAGGCAGGAGGAGCACTACGAGTTCTAGGACCAGTAAAAGGGGAAAGTATCTGGGCATGGTGATGTATATCTAATCCCATTGTTGGAGGCTGAGGCTGAAGGATCATGAGTTTAAGGCCAGCTTGTAAGTAATGATAGGCTGAGCTGCATAGTGAGACCCACAAAAACTGGAAACATTTCACAACTAAAATTTGGAAGAGGCTGTGGCTCTGACCTCCAGCAGTATCTCCAAATTAGCTCTGGAATCCAGACCTCTTGTGAACCATTTATACACTGCGGGGAAAAAAACACTGGATTTGGGTCTAATAAATAATTGCCTTTTGGCAAATCATTTGATTTCAGTGAACTTTATCTTCATCTATTATAATGAGATAGACTAGAGTATTTCTACAAGTTTGATTTGTTTTTGCTTTTAGGGGGTGCTAGGGACTGAACTCAAGGCCTTGTGCATGATAGGTAAGAGTTCTACTAGTGAGTTACACCTCCAGCCCCTCTACAAGTTTTTGAGTTCTGATATCATAACAGTTGTCAGTTTCCCTTTTTCCTAGGTATTAACACCATTCTAAATGAAAGTAGGGGGTATGGGTATGAGTGTGTGTGTCTGTTTGGACATCTTTCCATTTATCAAGTGAAGTTACTCTTTTGGGAGACTTTTCTATGAGCCTGGGCAAATTCTGGATCATGGTAATCTTTGACTCTCTAGGGTTGCTTCTCAGGGGAGTGGTACGTAAAAATTGATAGTTACCCCCAAATGATACAACTTTCTGCTCTAATTTCCAGATGGCAGTGTTTGAGTCTCTCAGAACTTGGTTGTATTTCTCTGTGTGGTACAGTGTGCCAGATAAGCTTTTGTAGAGAGGCAGTATCTTAGAAATAGGAACATGTCCTTGTTTTTAGAAACCTTTGGGCCGTGGATTTAGCTCTGGTTCTGCCACCTGCCTTGCAAGCGCAAGGTCCCAAGTTCAATCCCCAGTACCAAAAAAAAAAAAAAAAAGAAAGAAGAAGAAATCTTCATCAGGGCCAGGGATATAGCTCAGTGGTGCTGCACATGACTGGAAAGCACAAGGTTACGAGTTCGATTCCTGGTACCAGACCCCCCCCAAAAAAGAAATCTTCATTCAAGCATGGGGATGCATACTTGTAACCCAGTATTCTGGGAAGTGTCAGGAGGAATGAAAGTTCAAGCCTAGCATGGACAATGTAGTGATTTAGTGAGATCTTGTCTCAGAATAAAAACTAAGGGCTGGAGATGTAGTTCAATGCAAAGGTCCTGTGTTCAGTTCCCAGTACTAGAGGAATGGAAAAAAAAAGTTGCCTTTTTGTTGCTGTTTTTCATTTTTTAAAAGTCATTTTAAAATACTGACTATTCTTAGCTACTTGGGAGGCTAAAGCAGGAAGACAGTTGAGCCCAGGAATTGGAGGCCAGCCTGGGCAACATAGAACACCCATATCAAGATTTTTATATAAATAGCTGCGGATTTAGTTCAGTGGCACCATTCCTGCCTTGCAAGTGCAAGGTCCTGAGTTCGATCCCCAGTACCCCCAAAAAAGATTTTATATATATAAGTTTTACAAATTATAAAATACCATAAGGCAGGTTTTTTTGGTCTCTGGTTTTGTTTGTTTGTTTCTGTTTTGGTTTTTTGAGACCAGGTCTCACTATGTAGTTCAGGCTGGCCTTGAACTTGCAGCAATCCTCCTGCCTCAGCCTGCTTAGTGCTGGGATTATAGGTGCTGGTACCACCACACCTGGCTAAGGCATTTTATTTTTGGTGCTGGGAATTAAACCCATATCCCCAAGTATGCCAAGTACAGTATCTTATCACTGAGATATACTTTTAAGGCAGTTTATAAAAAATAAAACCCAGCTAGGTGTGGTGACACAGTTTTGTAATCTTAGCATTTTAGGCTGAGGCTGAAATTAGGATGGTAGGTTTGAGCCTAGCCTGGATAATCTTAGTGATTTAGTAAGACTTCTCAAAATTAAAAAATAAAGGTCTGGGGATTTAGCTCAGTTGTGAAGGCCCTATACCTAGCACCTTTAAATGAGATAAAACCCTTCCTTGTCTTTTCTAAAGGAGACCAGTGAGTTATAGATCATTCCTCTCCCTTCCATTCAGTAATTTTGAACACTCAATTCTTTTTCCAGCTTTTCTTTCTTGTCTAGTGTCTTTACTGTAATTCAACCCTGTCTACCTTGGAAGTAATAGATTACAGCTGGGAATATCCTGTCAGATATCTTTCCTACTTGGCACATCCTGCCTAGGACTCATACTTCAAAAAAAAAAAAAACCTTTGTTGTTTTTCCAGAACCTTCCTTCTTTCTGCCCCTCAACCCAGGGATCCTTTTAAGGACTACTTGAGAAATGAAATGAAACTGGTAGTTCATAGGGTCCTTTTTTGCCTTTCTTAGCTCCTTGTTTTTTACTCAGCATATTGGATTTGTTTTGGGAAGATTTGATACTTGTTTGGTTAAGGTAGGAAGAGTTCTTCATACTTTATTTTTTCCATTAAGTTTATTGGTACTTTTAAGGTAAACAATACAGTTAGATTCATCATTGGGAACTTGTATCTTTACATGGTGTATTTTGGTTCTTATTTTTTCCCCATTTCCCTGCCCTCCCTTCACCCACTTCACCCAAGTTCTTTATACTTCAGGTGCTTTGGGAAAGTGTACCACCCTATCTTTTTAAAATTTTATTATTTAATTACTTTTGAGACAAGGTCTTGCTGTTTAGTTCAAGCTGGCCCTGAACTCACTTTGTGGTCCAGGCTGGCAATGAACTCAAGACAATCCTCCTGCCTTAGCCTCCTGTGTGCTGGGATTATAGCATGTGCCACCATGCCCAGCATACCACCCTTTCTTAACCCTCTTGCTGATCTTGTGCATTAGGTAGGTTAGATGTAATCACTTAGCAGATGACACACCAGGGACATATTTTTGTTCAGGATCATACGATCGGATCCTGTGAGAACCAAATCCAGAACTTTGTGGGTCTCTGCTCAAATTCTGCTCTTACTGTACCACCTCCCCTTCCTGAAGCCATTGATATTTAAAAGTTCTGAGTTTTGCATATAGGTCTTAGTGGTCAGCAGACCCCAGGGTGCTTCTGGCTTTCTTCTATGTGTTTCCTTTGCATAATTGTCCTCATTGAGTGTTACGCACAGGGTCAGGTACCTGGGACAGGTCTTCTAAGATTACACCACTACAATTCCTACAGTGCCTTTTTCTTTCAGACAAGCAAGCAGTTGGCAGCAGCGTTCCAGGAGGAGTTCACAGTGCGAGAGGACCTGATGGGTCTGGCAATTGGGACTCATGGTGCCAACATCCAGCAGGCTCGAAAAGTACCTGGTGTGACCGCCATTGAGTTGGGTGAAGAAACCTGTACTTTCCGCATCTATGGGGAGGTAGGGAAAGATCTGTTTTCCAGGTCTTTTGGGGGATGGTGGGAAAATAGTGGAAAGCAAACCTGAGTGGTTTTGGTTTATATCTGTGTATATGGTTCTGAGGATTGAACCCAGGGCCTTGAGCTACATGCTAGGCAAGCACTCTTGCATTGAGCTACCTTCTTAGCCTGCAAACCTGTGTTTTGATAACTTTCTTCCTGACTTGGGTGGCATCCTATTTACCCAAATTCATAGAGTAGCAGGGAGATGGAGATTCAGGTTCTGTGTTTCAGTAACACCTCCCCACTCTTCTCGTAGACTCCTGAGGCATGTCGACAGGCCCGAAGCTATCTAGAATTTTCTGAGGACTCTGTGCAAGTGCCCAGGAACCTGGTTGGTAAGTTGGAGTGTATATAAAAGACAGTAGAAAGTTGGGTACTGTGGCATGCATCTGTAGTTCTGTCTACTTAGGAGGCTGAGGCAGGAGGATCAATTGAGTCCAGGAGTTTGAAGCCAGCTTGGGTAAAAGTGATACACCATTGCACAAATGCGTGCACAAAGCTGGCTTGGGCCTGTAATTCCAGCACACTGGAAGGCTGAGGCATAAAGATTGAGAGTTCAAGCCTAGACTGGACAATTTAGTGACGGTTTAAAAAAAAAGGGTTGGGGATGGCCAGGGATGTAGCTCAGTATAAAGGCCCTTGATTCAATCCCCAGCACTGCAGAAAACAAAAGGGGGGATGGGGGAATGTGAGAATCTGGAAAGTGATTCTGGGTGTTTAGCTGGGATTTGGTACTTGCCTGTGGTTCTGTTTTTCAAGTACAGAGCAAATCATCTTGTGAGATTGATAATAATGGAAGGATACACTTGTAGAGATTGTAATATTTTATTCTATGAAAATTTATCAGAAACCTAGAAGCAGAATTAATTAAATTTATCAGAAACCTAGAAACAGAATTAATTAAATTGAATACCTATACAGAAAATGGCAATGTGTCTGGAAGACTATCTTACTGTTTTTACTCATTTCCTTAAAGTGGGGGCTAATTTCTCCTTTACGCATTCAGGCAAAGTAATTGGAAAGAACGGGAAAGTTATCCAGGAGATTGTGGATAAATCTGGTGTGGTGAGGGTCCGTGTTGAAGGTGATAATGACAAGAAGAATCCCAGGGAAGAGGTACGGGGTAACTAAGTCTCAAGAATGAAGTGTAGGGGGTGGTTTGCTAAGGGGTAGGGACTTCCAAAGGGTGGAACATAACAACTTTTGGCCCCCTCGTAGATTTTGATTCCATTGTGTGGGCTCCCCTGGGAGACCATGTAGAGTTAATATTTCCATTCTTATTCATGTTTCTGATCCATTTTTTCTTCCCTCTGCTCTCTAGGGAATGGTTCCCTTCATATTTGTTGGCACCCGAGAGAATATCAGCAATGCCCAGGCACTGCTAGAGTATCACCTCTCCTATCTCCAGGTAGCTATGTCAGAAGTCAGGAGAGGAGGGAGGTGGGTGTAGCAAGTGGACAAAGGACTCCTAGAGAATAAACGGGTGCCCAGTTAGTCTCTAAAACAGGAGCCATTTGTGGAAATTTTGGCTGTGTTTGGATCCCCATACTGTCGTTGTCCAACCATTGTTTTCCTTGCATTTCTGAGAGCTTAGCTATATAGAATCATGAAGGGAAGGTAGGTGACTGTCCCCTGACCTTATTCCTACCATACCATTTTCCATTTTCTTCCCAACCAGGAGGTGGAGCAGCTCCGCTTGGAGAGGCTGCAAATTGATGAACAGCTTCGGCAGATTGGGCTGGGCTTTCGCCCTCCTGGGAGTGGACGGGGTGGTGGCAATGATAAGACTGGCTATACCACTGATGAGAGCTCCTCTTCTTCCCTCCACACAACGCGAACCTATGGGGGAAGCTATGGGGGTCGAGGCCGGGGCCGCAGGACTGGTGGTTCTGCCTATGGTGAGACAGTTGGGGGGCAGTGGGGGGGGCAGAGGGATGCATGGAAACCTGGAGAGAGTTGGAGATGACAAGGTCGATTGGCCAGGGCTTTGTGAAAGGGAGAACTTTTCTAATCCAGGGGCTGTGATGGACCCTGGGTAGGGGGAGTGACTGAATAAATTTCTTTGTTCTCCAGGTCCCAACTCAGACCCATCCACAGCTTCTGAGACAGAGTCAGAGAAGAGAGAGGAGCCAAACAGAGCTGGGCCTGGTGACCGGGATCCCCCAACCAGGGGAGAAGAAAGCCGGAGGCGGCTGATTGGGGGTCGGGGTAGGGGACCCCCACCTACCACCCGACCCACCTCAAGATACAACTCTTCATCTATTAGCTCAGGTACCAGACAGCTAGGGTTATAAATGTCAGTCAAAAGCAAAGATGATTGTTGCCTACCTCCAGCGCCTTTTTTTCCTCTGGCCAGTGCTGAAGGATCCAGACAGTAACCCCTACAGCCTACTGGACACATCTGAACCAGAACCCCCTGTTGATTCAGAGCCTGGGGAACCACCCCCAGCGAGTGCCAGGCGCCGCCGCTCCCGTCGCCGTCGCACTGATGAAGATAGAACTATCATGGATGGAGGCCTGGAGTCTGATGGGCCTAACATGACAGAGAATGGCCTGGGTGAGGGGTGTTCCTAGGGCCTGAGAAGTCAGAGAGGGGTAAGAATAAGGGATGGGAAAGTGAATATATGACCACTTTTCTCATTGCCACAGAAGAGGAGTCCAGACCCCAACGTCGTAATCGTAGCCGCCGCCGCCGCAACCGTGGTAACCGGACTGATGGGTCGGTCTCCACTGACCGGCAGCCAGGTCAGCTGACCCTGCCCACCAGGAGCCTTCCTAGTGCTGAGGATGGAATTCGTCCTGCCTTGTGACAACTGGGTTTGGTGGGAGTGTGGGCTGGATATCCAAGCTCCTTCTGAAAGTCTCAATCTCTGCCTTCCCCAGTGACTGTGGCAGACTATATCTCACGAGCAGAGTCTCAGAGCCGCCAGCGGCCACCCCTGGAACGGGCTAAACCCTCAGAGGATTCCCTGTCAGTACAGAAGGTAGGCAGGAGAGATGCAGATTTCACCCCACTCCTTTTTCACATTCTGGGGCAAGAGGCAGAAAAAAACTCCCAGAAAAATCTCATATTGAGTTGCCAGAGTGGCTGTCAGGTGGATTTTAGCAGAGGAAAGTGGCTCACAGAGTAACTAGAACAGATGGGAAAGCAGCCCCTGGATAGGTGCTCAGTGTGGAGGACCTAGTGGGAGGGAATGCCTACATCTGAACTTCTACTAATTGCCTGTTTTCCTTTTCCTTCCATTTTCCTCCCCACTTCTTCCTCAGGGTGACTCTGTCAGCAAGCTTCCTAAGGGCCCCTCCGAAAATGGGGAGCTGTCCACCCCCCTGGAGTTGGGTAGTTTGGTGAATGGGGTTTCATAAAACCTCCAGCCTGCATCCCTCCCTTCTCCGTCTCGCTTGCTGCCCACCACCATGGGCCTCACGGGCCCAACTGACCTGCGCTGGAGCTGCTCTTATCTAGGGGGGAGGGGGGTGGCACAGCAGCTTGGGTCCCCCCTAACCTCCAGGAGCTAGTGGAGGGGTGTGTAACAGGGTCGTAGCCCCTTCTCTCTTGTCCACCCTACCCCCAGGGTGAGGGGAGCCTCCCCTTCCCCATCAGACTGGATGTGCCTTTATCCTCTAATGCCCCAACCTCTGAACACCCTCCTTCTCCACTTGTTGGTGGGTGAGGGTGCTCCTTGACCCACCCAGATTTGACAGTTCAGGGGGGCCCCCTGCTATCCCTCCTCCCATCCTGTACCCCCTGTTTCTGGGGCCTCATCACTGTGGAAGACGGGGATAGTAAGGGTATCCATGGGTGGGAGGCATGGGGAAGGTTTTGGAGTAGAACCAGGGGTGTGTATGAAGTGGGGTGACAAGGTCCCCCAGGGGAGGGGGGGACCAACATTGGTGGATGAGAAGGCGTATTTATTTTTCACTGTACAGTATTTAAAAAGAGAATAAAAAAATCCAAATGGCTCTGTGGTTTCTTTCTTGTACCCAGTGTGATCCATTTGATTCTCTTAACACTAAACCTGCATTGGTCCCTGGCTCTTGGCTGTTCTCCACACTAGGCTTATCCTCATCCTCTGGCCTGGAAGATCTCACCTCTGGGAATTCCTGGCATTCCTGGATTCCCCAGGTACCCTCTTGGTCTAGAGGTGGTTCAGGCCTTAGTGCCTGTCCCCTCCCCTGCTGGTGGAGGGAGTTGGGCCACTCCTATGCCCTGAGTCATGGCATGGTTAGGCCTGGCTGCTCAGCTGGAGCTGTTCCTGGCTAGGAGCTGAGAGCCAGGGCGGGTATCTGCTTAAACCGATTACCTGAGGCCTGGGGCAAAGGCTGGGTCTTGTGCTGAGTGGGAAGAGGGCTCCCTCCCAATCTCTGCAACTCCGGGGTCCCAACCCCCGTTCCTGCTCTGGCTCTAGCACCATCACCAACTCAGCACTTGGGAGTTGGCCTGCATTGCCTGGCTCTGGCCTCCTGGCTTGTGTTTAAAGATAAACTTGCCATAATTCAGTGGTTGGGGGCTGGAGGTGGGAGAGTTTGAGTTTTCCCACCTGAAAAGGTTGAATCAGCCCAAGCACCTGCTGGAATGACTCAGGAAATAAAAATTTCCTTCCTCTGACTTGATTGCCCAAGGGGCAGGTCAGGGGTTTGAGTATCTGTAGTTTCTTTTAGCACCACTGAACCCTGAGGGCTTTTGATGCCCCTGTACTTCATCCATTGTGGACAGGAATTGACTTTAAATTGCAGTGCTTAAGAAAGGAGGGAGACAATTGTAGCAACTGAGCTGGAAGGCTTGACACCTAGGTCTAGGGTGGGGAGGGGGCGTGGTACCTGGAGGGGAGGTGTTGGGGCTGGGAAGAACGGGATACCTGGGTTTGTCTAAAGGAGGGGGACGTTGGCGCAGTCTGGGAAGGCTTGGGGAGGAGTCTGTCTTTAAAAGTTGTTTCTGGGCCCAGCCCGCCAGTCGGAGTGCAGGT